CAGGGGTGAGGTCAAAGAGGTGTTAGGGGTGAAGTCAAAGAGGTGGCAGGGGTGAGGTCAGGGAGGTGGCAGGGATGAGGTCAGGGAGGTGGCAGAGGTGAGGTCAGGGAGGTGGAAGAGGTGAGGTCAGAGAGGTGGCAGGGGTGAGGTCAGGGGGTGGCAGGGGTGAGGTCAGGGAGGTGGCAGAGGTGAGGTCAGGAAAGTGGCAGGGGTGAGGTCAGGGAAGTGGCAGAGGTGAGGTCAGGGGGGTGGCAGGGGTGAGGTCAGGGAGGTGGCAGAGGTGAGGTCAGGGAAGTGGCAGGGGTGAGGTCAGGGAGGTGGCAGAGGTGAGGTCAGGGAGGTAGCAGAGGTAAGGTCAGGGAGGTAGCAGAGGTGAGGTCAGGGAGGTAGCAGAGGTGAGGTCAGGGAGGTGGCAAGGAGCAGCCAGCACACACAGAACCCGGTGGCCCACCCTTCCCTTCGTCATTCTCAGGCGTTAGCATTACCTCTCATGGAAAACTGAAGCAAATACAGCTTGGCTGGCCGTGCCCAGAGCTTCTGCCACTGTCTGCAGCTGCACCCTTACAGTCTGATGCTCAGCTCCTCCCAGAGCACAGCCTCCCCGCTGGATTCCCCATCCCCCCTCCCCCCTGCCATCAGTGACAATGTCCTGCAGTCACCTGCCTTTCCGTGCCATCCATGTGCTCTTTCTTTTTCCTAAGCCAAACTGTGTCCAGCTTTACTAACGATGCTGTCCATGAACAACCATAGTAGTCTGAGGCAGCCCATGGGCGGACAATCATTAACAGTACACAAGAGCTTCCAACCTCCCTTCCTGGATGGACAACCGGATTCAGATGCAACGGCGGCGTTCTCATGTGGTACTCTGCACAGGGTACCTTTAGAGTACAGTTGACGTGACTGACTAAATGTCAGGAAGTGAAATGAAAATGGCAGAATTATGAGACTGAATACCCACAACCTCCTAGAGAAGGAAGCATTTCTAGGATGTCTGGGTTTCACCATCCTGACGAT